GACCATAAATTATACATGTTGAATGTGCAGAGGAAATATAGAAAATTAAAGAGAATAATATTTGACCTGGCAGAATGTAGTCAGAATATAAAAATCAATACAAGGAGCACATTTGGTGTTCTTAATTTATGTGGACAAACACTTTAATATTTCTCAATTCAGAAGACATAAGAGATATTGTGACAAAATATAAATCATGTCCGCTTTGAATTTCAACTAGGGAAATGTACATTTCTTAAGAACCAGTTATCATGACTGCCAAAAAAACAAAAAAAAAGGGAGATGAGAGTTTTGTGCAGTAAGAAAGACATAGTAGGGCTGATTGCAGAATGTCAGTGTCAAATAAGGAAGGATAGGGAAAGATATATCAATCAAAAATGTCAACAGAGGAAAATAGCAAGGAACATGGGTGATGTTTTAAGAAGCTTGCAGGAAAATGTATAGCTAATGTAGGAAGAGACTTTACAGAGACAGAGACAAAAGAGATTAAAGAAGGAAAGAGTATCCTGAAATCCTTTACAAATGGAATTATAGAATGTCTGAAATATTTGCAGAAACCAATCCACTTGAAAGCAAGATATGAAAAGCAATAGACCAGCTGCGAAATTAAAAAGCTCCAGGCATAGATGAAATGTACATTGAAGGCTGCAAGAAAAGAGGCAATTAACATCCTGCCAATAAATATGGAACAAGACTAGAGAGAGTGAGAAAGACTGCTATATAATACTGAAGAAGAATGATGCAAATTATCAAAGCACTGTGTGGGAATATTTTAAAAGATATTTCAAAGAAAAAGAGAATATTACACAGAGACAAAAATCTCAAACAAACAAGCAGATTTCAGAAAAGTCAGGGATGTGAGATCTGATAGTTAATACAAACTGATCCAATCTGGGTTGGTCACCAGGAGCAGAGTTTAGTTTTCTGAGCTTTTGGGCTTGTGCTGGAGCCCATCCTCAGAGAACTTCTCTCTTACTAGAATGTGTCTCACCACACATTCAGGTGAGAGAGAAGCTCCCTCAGGATGGGCTCCAGCACAGGTCTGGAAGCTCAGAAGACTAAACCTCAAGACCAGACATGTCAGATACAAGGCCCGGGGCCCAGATGCGGCCCACGAAGTGTTTCATGTGGCCCGCGAAGCCATCCTGGAAATAGTAAGGGAATGGCCCCCGCTGTCTTGGCCCTGGCCCAGGCCAGCCAGGAACCAATGTACAATTTTGTGGTGGCCATCTATGCTGAAATGCATTCAGTTTTAGTTCCACAAGGCCGTCCAGAAACAGCGAGGAACCAGCCCCTGCCACATTGGCCCCACCCCCTGGGTGCATGCTGGGGAGGTGTCACCCTTTGTGAGGAATGAAGAAATGGACTATGCCTTGGCACTTGCCCCGGTCCCACCCCCTTCTGCCAGAGACCCTCAGAACTGTCCTACTCCTGCCCAGGCCCCCACAGGCACCCTTGACGCAAACAATGTAGAGCTAGCCATGCCCACTCAGTAAGCCACACCCACTCCATCCACACCCACCCAGTAGGCTGCACCCACCCTGGCCATAGCCCCCCAGCCCCCCAAGGGCAACCGCAATGCTGATGCGGCCCTCAATGAAATTGAGTTTGACACCCCTGCTCTAGTCCCAGTGACCAGTCCAGATTGGATCTTGCAATATTACCCTGCGACACAATATATTTGCCTTCATTCATGAATACAAATTGAATAATGGAGAGCACAAGGCAATTCAAGGAAGAGGTTTAGTTTCCTTCATTGACTGCAGCGAGTAGTTATGGAGATCATGCCACAAAGTAGAATCTGTGTGCCAAAATACTGGAGTCTTCTGAGGAATCTTTCTCATGAAGAAGAAGAAGCCTTTGTAAGAACTAAGTCTGAAGAAAACAAAGTAGTCCAGACAAAGGAGGATGCATGTTGTTCTATATCTGTTGAACATATAGCAAAGGTACTTCAAGAATAGTAGGGTTAGGAGAAACGATAGAGGGTTCAAATAGGAGGTCAAGACATCAGCAGTAGAGTTATGCAGATGATATTTTATTAGCTGAAAGTAGAAATAAGAATGCATTATGAAAATAAAACTGGAAAGTAAAAATGTGAGCAATGTTAATTGGTATGCAGAGTGAAATCAGAATAGAATAGAATAGAGCTGGAAGAGAACTTGGAGGTCTTTTATTAGTTTCCAACCATGGTTTCTTATCCTGCCATCTGGTGTTTTGGAGAATAATTATTTGTGGCAGCCCCTCAAATACTGGAATACTGCTATCATGTCACCCCTATTTCTTCTTTTCTTTAGACTAGCCAAAGCCAAGTCCTGCAGCTGTTCTTCATATGTTTTGGTCTCCAGGTGTTTGATCATCTTAGTTGCTCTTCTCTGAACTTTTCTCAAAGTCTAAACATCTTTTTTGTAATATGGTGACCAAAATTGGATGCAGTATTCCAAGTGTGGTCTTACTAGGACAGGGGTAGGCAACCTTGACTCTTTTGACTCATGGACTTCAACTCCCAGAATTCCTGAGCCAGCCATGCTGAGGGGAAAGGGAGAGGTTTCCATGCTTAGCCATGCTGGCTCAGGAATTCTGGGAGTTGAAGTCCACGAGTCATAAAAGAGCCAAGGTTGCCTACCCTGTACTAGGATTTAATAAAGCGGTATTAATACTTCGTGTGGTCTTGATGCTATTAGTTTTTTTGGTTGCTGCTGCACAATGCTGGTTCATAGTCAAGTGATCATCCACAAGGTCAGAGGTCCCCAACCTTTTGGGCACCAGGGACCAATTCCATGGAGAAAGGTTTTTGCACAAACCAGAGAGTGTATGATTTTGTGTGCTGCCTGCATCCCATGGATGGGGCTTGGTTCTTTGTGCGGCCCAGTTTCTGGCACGCTGTAGCCCAGTACTAGTCCACGGCCCTGGGGTGGGGACCCTGTATTAGGACTCCAAGGTCACTTTCACAGTTACTGTTTTTGAGCCAGGTCTCGCCTAATCTGTACTTATACCCAGTGCTTTTTTCACACACGTCATTCAACTCGCCTTGCCTACCCTACAAGGTTCCATCCAAAAAAGGTGCCGGAACTCCGTTCTGAGCGTTCTATGACAAAAAAAGCCCTGCTTATACCTTTGATTTTTCCTGCTTAAATGTAAAAACTTGCTTTTCTCCACATTAAAATTCATTTTGTTGGACAGGGCCCATTGTTCGAGTTTGCCAAGATTTTTTTGGATCTTGAGCTTGTCTTCTGGGTTATTGGCTATTCCTGCCAGTTTAATGTCACTGCACATTTGATGAGTTCCCCTTCTATTCACAATTAATAGCAAAGAATTAAAGGGAGAAAATATTTTTTTTCTTGGGCTCAGTGAACAACAAAATAGACCAGTAAAGTTAAAAGACTGGACTTTCTAGTGGTAAGGTAAACTATATCTGTAAAAGCTGGATAAGGAGAAAGAGCAAAAGGAAGAAAATTGATGTCTGAAATATGGATCTGAAGACATTTACTAAGAGTATCACATACTGCAAGAAGAGCCATCAGTCGATATTGGACCTAATAAAGAAGGATCACTCCTTAAGACACAGATCAGTAAGCAGAACTCATATATTTTAAGCATGTGATATGAACACATGAAGACCGAAAACAAATGACTATGTTTGAGAGGGCTGAGGTAAATACAAAAGAGAAAGGCAAAGGTGGATGGATGGGATTAAGTGGATTGCATGACTGTTCTTGGAAGAACTACGGATTATTGCTGAGATGGCAAGCATTTGCTGATGCAGATACTAGCAGCTGAGCCTCACCCAGTTGTACTTTATAAAAAAAAAATCCAAAAATGCCAGTCCCAATCATTACACCAAGTTTGAACATTTATGTTCCCTTACCCATATTAAAATGTTTCTTTCCCCTTTTGCCAATTATATAAGTATTCAGTGAATTAATTGTAATTTAATTTGAATTACATTTACATTCCAGGAGGCATCTGGGACCCTTTGAGGTGCATGGAAATGTAGTTTATATCAGTGTAATTAATGCAGTGTTTAGGTTCTCTATGAAGAATGATGTTTAAAATAATCCATTATGGGGATGGTGCTGTTCATTGTAATTCAAATGCAAGTGGAAGGTGTGAATAATATATAGCAATTAGGCAGCTGCAATCAGGCACCTGTTTAAGTCTTTATGGTAAGTTAAGCACAACTTACATGCTCAGTAAATGTAGCCCTAATGCAGGGATGTCAAACTCGCAACATCAGGTGACATGTTGTGACGTATCACAACTTTTTTCCATTTCGGCAATGGGGTGGGCACAGTTTCGCTATGATGCACAGTTGAGTAATGTTCCTGATTTGAAGAAGAGGCACTATATTCATCTGTAGTTAAAGCAGCCTTCTAAGCAACCTTCTGAAAGTGGTCTTCATAGCAATGTAACTGCAGAGAAGTAATTGTTAAAAATGGTTATGTAGAAGATAAAAATGCTAGGCACAAACTTGCAACACAGAATTTACTAGTCACCACAACTTGTTAACCTGTTGGATAATAGCAGCCCATATAAACACATTAGGATTGTGCAAACCTAAAACTTTGGGTTGAGTAAATCATGAATTAGTTAACCACTGATAAGTGTATTGTGCTAACATAACTGTTATCTATGTGTGTATGTCCATTACTATATCTCATCTAACTGCTACAATGAAGGAATGATCCAGATAATCAGTACCATATATGCAGTCACCGGTTTTATTCTGAAAGAGTAGCTGCATGGGACAAAAACAGCAAAAAGCAAGTTGAGTCAGCATATGAAATGACAACTCTTTGGAAAATGATTGTGATATAAGTATATGGTTGAATCAGACTGTCAGCATAACAGGGACTAAATCTGAAATGGTATTTTGGGGATATACAAATTATATTTTGAATTTATGATAACTTCATCAAGTTAAATAATTTCTATCATAATATATATAAAATACATTAGACAATGTTATAAAGATAGTTTTAATTAATCATACAATAGACAGCAAAGAAAACTTTTACAGATATCTCAGAAATTTGTGCAATGACATATTTTGTGAGATCTTGCCCTTCAGAGAGACAGTTGTATCCAGTAGCTAGGTATTCAGTTCCCAGTTGTTACAAATTAAAAGCTAATATATGAAGCATTAATTAAATGTTATTTTTGTAAAATTAGTGCTTATAGATTCACCAGAACAGAATACAAATTGCGATCTCTAATTAGCATAGAAGCTGTATGACATACTGATTTTTTTGTGTGTGCTTTGTTGATCTTGTTACATTAGAAATGGGAAAAATACAGTATCATCCACTTTCAAATGATGTTCCAGTTCAGATCAACATTGTAGAATCAACTTGGCTAAAGAAAATTATATTCTACTATTCTATACTGCAGAGAGATATTTTTTTTGTTTCTCAAGTTCATTTTAGTTCTCAGGCAGTACCAGATGATTCCCTATTTTATTATTTAAAAATCACAGAAATCTTTTGACAAGACATCTAGAATGTTCTCTCAGATGAGCTCTCAGATGAAATTCCAACAATTTTAGTAGCTGATTTGGTTTGCTTCCAGAATAACTAGGTATGTATGTATGTATGTATGTATGTATGTATGTATGTATGTATGTATGTATGTATGCAGTGGGTACTGAAATTCACATAATTTAGCTAATGTAGCCAATATTAATGGAATGTTCCCCTGTATTCCTAATGTCTTGCACTGTACTTCACTTTGTCTAGCACACTGTGCTTCAGAAAAATTGGAGATCTTATGGGATACAATTTAGAAAGATATGGGGCCCCATAGGAGAGGCAGAATTAAAAATTCTGTTGCATATTTGCTTGCATAACTTTGGTTCTTGCCCATTTATAATTAGTTGCTAAATTTCAGAATAAAAATGAACTTAGTTCAGTAAATGTGAAAATGTTAATTAATGTGTGGTCAAAGCTGCCTTGTTGTCTTCACCTATTTTTGAATTGATTTTTATTGAATTGCATGACAAAAGACTATATAAATTGCTTCTCTTATGCATAAAGTACCATTTCTGGAATATTAGAGTTGTAACTTAAGATATGTGATATAAATAAAAATAAGGTAAATGTCTTATCTTTGAACTGGCTTTGATTATTATGTTTTTTTTCTATGTACAACATTATATTTTATGGTCAAGTTTTTACAATAAGCTATAAAGTATCCCATAATAGTCGGGCAGTAAATCAAATTCTCACAACCATTACAAACATGAAAAATCCACTTGCTTTTGATGGAATATATTTTTCCAAGAACCTTTTGCCCTCTCTGAAAAAAGGAACTTGTGTGCAACTTTGGTGTGGAGAGACACAGAAGCTTTAGATAACCCAAAGAGTAAGTTGTGTTTGAGAGACATACACAGCTTGATTCCTGCTAGTATACCTCTGAGTCAATTTTATATCTGCCTCAGATATTTTCCAGATTTTTTTTTCCAGGCATAAAGCCATTGCTGCAAAGCTGTCTTTAGATTACAGGAATGATTGCTTCTGAGGTTTAGGGTGCTTCAGAAAGATACATGAGGAACAGTTGATGTTCTACTGGGGGAATGGAGTAAGTCCTAAAAAAGCAAGTCAGAGCAATATGTGTAGAGACTAAAAAAGATTACTTTGATGAAGGTCTAGCAAATGTTTGGAAATCTCAGATACTTCCTAATTCACTGAACTATAAAAATGAGGATCAAATATAAGACTTAGATTTGCAAGGTTGGTGTCAGCCCCACTAGGTAGACCAGATTAAGAATCAGTCCTACAGGAAGGCCAAAACTTATTGAGACTGGCTATAATAGTAGAATTTTACAAGCCTGATTATTGCAACACTGGTGTCCAGAGGAATGATTTTTAAAAAGATATATAACAGAAAAGAAGAAACATTTATCTTGCAATTATCCTTCTACTCAGATTCACCTAGGTGCAACTTTATGGTTTTCCAAATTCTCCCTGTGTCTGGATTCTGATTTTAGTTTAACTCTACTTTTCTTAGATGACAAAAATAAGAAAGAAGATAAGAAAGAAACAGTGGGCACAAATCTAATCAAAGCATCATTATTATTAGAAAATAAATCTGGAGAAGGTAGGGGAATATCCTGAAACTGGAGGAAATCTACAGAGCAGAAGTAGAAAAATAACAATAGAGGATGGTGTCAGGTACATGGGTTTTGCTAAAGCAGGAAAGAAATATATATGTATTTACTATGGAAAAATATAAATTTTAGTTTTCCATAGGAAGCTAAACAAGGTTTAAATATTTTTCTGAAGGTTCTGTTTAAGGTTTAATACTGCCATGTGCAAAATTTCCAAAAGAAATGCATTCTTTATTAATCACATTTCTTAAATCACATGAAATAACAACTTATTGGAGCACTGATTATTTTCAACAGCATAATTCCACATGGCAAATATATCAGCAAAATCAAACACCCTGTTATAAGGGGCAGCTTAGCTCTTTAAAAATGTTTCAGCACAACATACAAATCTTCAAAGGTTTATAATATATTTTTAAATAATGCAATATAAAACATGGTTGATACATAAAAATATTCATAGTATATTTCTAGGACAATCCTCCATGGCAGTTATTAGATTTTACACATCACATGTTGTATACAGTTACATAGATACACAAACATACGCGCGCACACACACAAAGACAGAACATTCATTCTCTTGCATCTACTATGAATCTAATGAACTGCTATTAAGAACAAGTTTTTGCTTAAAGTAGTAATTGTTGCTGAAAATATATAATTATTTTATATGTAGTTGTTTCCATAGTAACACAAACAAACAATGTAATTACATGGCAATCTCATTGGATTATTAAAGTTGAGTCAATAAATATTGTTTTGCTACAGGGAATGTAGAGTTAACAGTACAGTCACCTGGCTTGCAGTCTTCTACCACAATGGCAAATCAAATATTTCAAAACTGCAGGGATTTTGGACTTGATTGTATCAATACATTTTTCTATAACTTTCTTATTCTTCACTCCAAATTAGTATACAAGGGGAGGGGGGAACGCTAAATCAGTTTTTCTAAATGTTCTTCATGAGCTATATGCTAACATGCTAAGTGGCATCCCCAACATAAATTTCAGGAGATTTCTTACTATGTTTCCACCTAAAAAAGGTTTAGCAAAATATATTTTCTCCTTTCAAGCAAATGTTGCTGCATTACAATACAGTCTGCTGCATTCAATGGTGGTTCACATCCTGGAGACACAACATGATTCTCCTCTAACTTTAGCATGCAGAGTCATATTCAAGTGTTGTCAAGAGAGTATATGATGTGACTGTGTGTTGAAGAACACTGTGTGTTACTGTTACACTTTCTTTTTGCTATAGAAGTTGTATATGGGATTTGTGCTTTGTCAGAATTCCAATGATCTTCTCAGAACACACTACTCTTGAACATAATAATTTCCTTTTTTAAAAAACAAAACAAAACAAAACCACACACACAACAGGTAAAGAACTGGAGCCCTCTAATGGATTTAGTGCAGGATATAATTTTTTGCCCCACCCTATACACCATGCTCATTGGCCTTCACTTGCCCCAGGGGCTTGTGCTATTTCCCCCTGTCCAATTAAAGCTCAGAGAGAAGACATAATCTACTTGCTTTCACCAGAGTAGCTTCTGTTCTACAAAGTGGATGAGCTTTGCTTGTAATCCCTCAAAACAACGGAGGTGTAAGTTGCATTGGGAGGTATGCAAAGCACTGATTCAGACACAGGAGAACTGGGCACAGAACTGCCTGAAGCCACTGAATCTCGAAAAGGAGATGGAGGTGTCAGTGCTGGTGAATCTTCTAGAGTCAGTTTGCTGGTAGCCTGCTCCTCTTCTTCCTCTTCCTCCTCCTCTAAATTTCCTGGTCTCTCATACACATAATCTTGGATAAGCTTAAACTTTTCATTTTCTTCTTCTTCCTCCTCCTCTTCTTCCTCCTCTTCTTCTCCCTCCTCCTCTTCTTTTTCTTCAGATGGGAGTGAAACCGGCTCTTTAATGAAAGTGCCCATTTGTAGTGGCAATATCTGTGGCTGCATTGCTGGAGGATGATATATGGGCCTCAGTCCATTTCCTGCACCAGACACGGGCATTACCGCATTGAAATCAGGGATGCCAGTGGCAAATTGGTTGACCACACCCTGCAGCTGGTCCATAATGGATCGCGGTGGTGGAGGCGGTGGTGGGGGTGGCAAGACTTTGGGACTCTGTATGTCTTCTGCTGCTGCCTGTAGGGGAGGCATCACCATCACTCTTCTGTGTACAACCATGGAAGGACTACTCATTTGGCTGAAGTGCACTGACTCACTTCCTTCCTCCTCCACAACATTGTACAAAGTCTTACTGCTGATGTCCGAAAAAGTGAGGCTCTTGCTTGGACCTGGATAACTTTTAGTTAGGGGCTTGATAACTGCTGTCTGATTGCATCCTAGCTCCTTATTCTTCACATGCACTGAGAGCCTGTGCCACATATGTTGTCCCTTGGGAATTTCTCTTCCACCTGGTTCAGACCATGACACAGACTTGCCATTAGAACTAGAAATAAAATAAAGATGTGTTTATTTACATTTCTGTAGCCAGACACAGGCAACCACAACACATTTATCCTAGAAAATCCCTGTGTGTTTTGCAGTATTAGTTCCTCCGAGAAGCAACTACAGTGGGAAACAGCAACTGTTCCTAAATGTAGATTTATGTAAACAAAGGCAAATTATTCCCTGTTAGTTTCAGATGTTGGGGAAGAGCAACATCTTGCAGAATACACATGGCTGCCACCAGACACATGAAGTAGTGGATCTTCATTCCCTCTCTCTGTAATGTTAGTAAGGAATAGCAAATAAGCTGATTCCAAGATTCTTTATCCCCAGTTTATGCACTTCTTGCGAGGAAATGCAGAGAAACACCAACAGCAGTGACCGTAACAAGCATATTGTTTCTTTATTAAATGTTGTTAGGGTGAATGGGGTAAAACAGTGGTAGCGAACCTATGGCACAGGTGCCAGAGGCGGCACTCAGAGCCCTCTCTGTGGGCATGCACGCCATCGCCCCAGTCCTAGGCCTTCAGCTGGGTTTTATAAAACCTTTTTGCTTTAGGCCTCTGCCACCGTGTGCAAAAAAAAAAAAAAAAGTTCAATCAATCAGTCAATTTCAACTTCTCACAGGAAAAAAATATCTTGCAAAGTTGGAATTGATTGATTGAACTTTTTAGTCCCACCCAGTCTGCCGTTACTGCAGCCACGCCCTGCCAATGGGCATGCCAGCCAATGGGCCACACCCAGCCAATGGGCCACACCCACCCGGCACCCAACGATGTATAAGTGGTTTTGGGTTGCAGTTTAGGCACTCGGTCTCTAAAAGGTTCGCCATCACTGGGGTAAAATGTTGTTATTATTAATTATAAACAGCAGCTTTCTTCAACTTGTCTTTCAAAAGTAAGCAGCCTCTACATTTAAGGAGGAGAAGGGAGGGTGAATGGGAAATGGATATGCCCATCTCCTGCTCTGTTGCCAGCCTATGATTCTGAACAAACATAAAATAAGTACATGCACATTAGACGTAGTTTCGACAAATGGTACAGAAACTCAACTTCAATCTTTAAAAAGCACTCAACTTTATAATATATAATCTTTAGTCTGTAACATTTGATTTGCATTTCACATGCAACAATTTCCACAACACATAAAAACTTGTCTGGTCTGGTAAAAACAGCAGTACAAAACTTCCTAGCTCCAATTTGTGGATGAGTGGAATTACAGTCAGAAATATTCTCCTTCATCTATTGAATTTTCTCCATTGCAGCCATGGAGGTTTGAAGATTACCTTTCTCGTGGTGCATACATTGTACAGTTGTACTTGTATACATATTATGAAAAATCAGTCTCACAACCTGTACGACAACAAATGTTTTAAAACACAAATGCAGACATAACTAACACCTATAAGTCTGTTATATATTTATTAAGTTTAAATGACCTTAAATACTTGGGGAAAAGAGATTAAAAGGATGACATACTGTAGACCATATTAACGTCTTTTTGCTCTAGGAGTCTAGGACAAACCCACTATTTAGAAAGAGGTTATGTTCATGATATGGAAGCACCAAGAAAGAACTGTAATAAGTAAGAATCAAAACAACAGTGACTTTAAACAAGACTACTACTCTGAGAATTTATTGGGGGTGATGATGGCTTACCAGCAGTATCAGTTACAGTGGCAGCTTTAGATAGTTAGTAGAATTTTTTTGTAGGTATGTTTTGTTGTTGGACACTGTGGGGGCATGGGATAACAAAACAGTCCTGTAAAATAGCTTTAGAAGGCTGGTATTTCTGGTGATTTTTTCTATGTCACATGGAAGAAAAATATTTTATTCTGAATAATATTTATAACATATGGAGAGTAGAAACATTCTGTTGCAGGCTCTGTGATGCTCAGAGTAGATATTGCAATGTTAGATTTATGTGGATGTATTTATTTAGTATGTTCTAATGCAAATCACTTGCTTTGCAATGCCCTATAGTTTTGAAGTTATCAGTACATTTCTCAATAGCTGATGGACATACTGTTTGGCAATGTAAATGCAGCACTAGATAAATTTATATTTTATCCAGTGCTGTAGTTTTATGGATTGAAGCTGAGTTATTTCTCAATGAAAGCCTATGTGGGCACTCTCAGATAGGAATAAATCAAGGCACAGAATCCATTTTAGATGGAAATTTGACACTAACTGCTTTCATGTGTAAGGCTGAAGTCTTTTAAATGGGTGTCACTGGGTTACTTAGTTGTGAAAGCTTGGTGGAAAGCTTCATGTACAGGATTTATAAATTAGAGTTATTGGAATTTTTTCTGTAGGAGAAAGTGAACCAAATTTAGCTGGGCAAGAATTCAAGCAAAGTATTTGATGTTCAGAAAACAGGCCAAAGATGCTCTGTAAAATCCATGGGAATGGGTTTTCTACTTTCATGTAGGTATAAAATAGAATGTAAAACACACTGCAATACAGAATATGTTGAAAAGCAATACTAGTTAATGCATATAAAAACAACACATTTAAAACACAACTTATGTATGTTAGTATATACCCACGGACATACATACATACATACGTACATGCACGCACGCGCACACACACACACATACAAGTTCCTTTCAGGTCAGTGGGGCTGACTCCCAGACAAGAATTTATAGAATTACAGACTTATATTACTCCATTTCTGCTTTTTTCCCCCCTCTTGGCATCATCTTCAGAATTTTATTTTAAATCAATATTGACCAAAACTCACCAGTTCCTGAATTTTTTTTTCATATTATTATATCCCAACAAAAGTTTCAGTGATGACTTTAATCTTGTCTACAATGTTGATGACTAATAATATACCCATTTCATTGGATTCAGTTTTGTGTGTCATATAATTTCCATTGTCATCTGACATACAAAGTAGAATCCAATGAACCAAGTACATTATATGACATATAATACTGAGAACGGTTGATAATTATTTTTAAAATTTCCACTGAAATTCCACTTATACTAGATATTTGGCATATAATCTTATTTTTTCAGCAGCATTTTTTTCCCTCTATTATCCTGCCTTACTTTCTTCTCTATGTTCAATTTATTGCTCTTTGTCCCCTTAGACCAGGGGTGTCAAACTCGCAACGTCATGTGACGTGTCGCAACGTATTGTGACTTTTTTTCCCATTGCCGGCAATGGAGTGGGCGTGGTTTCACCATGATGCATCCGGCTTGCGGGCTGGCAGTTTGACACCCCTGCCTTAGACTTTCTAGGGGAAGCAGATTCATTCCATCAACATGATTTGAAATTTATCCTTTACAGCATAATCTATGTGGGCTCACCGTGCAACTATTTTTTTAAAAGAATTGCTGTTTTTCTTGCTATATCATTGTTCTACTTAATAAGCAGGTCTAACCCAACTCTTATCTGTGACCTTTAAAATGTGCTTAGTTGCAAAACGTCTAATGTGGCAGGAAAGAAGAACTACATAATTGGTAATGACAACTATTGTTCCATTGATTTTTTTTTATCTTCCAAAAATTCCAATATGGACAACTACATGAAGGCATGTTCATCAGTGAGTATTTTTTTGTATTTGGCCTATGACTGAATATTTCTGAAGCCCTCAGTAGGCAGGAAGAACTGGACACAGCCAGAATGCAGCTGAAACTGCTAGGGAAAATGGACAGCTGTCAAAGAAGACTAGTTCAGCTCCATGCAAGAACAAGAAAAACGGTGGGATAAATTGTGGGAAAGATAAAATGAACAGGTAAACTAATTTTTTTTCCTTTTGGAATTCAGCCAGAAAATGTTGAAGTGACAACCATGAAAAACAGAAAAAAAAAGTTCCTCCAAAAATTATTTGACAATGTCCTTGCAAGAATATATATGGACAAGCAGGTCAAGGCAGTGTGAAAAATGGGACACATACACGACTTTTCTGTCATTAATGGCATGCACCATTATTAGAAATGAGAAAGTCATGGGAAAGAGAAAGCAATGGGTTAAAAAAAATACACCACTGTTTGTCATGCAGCTTTTCTTACACATTCACTGCAGTTTGGGGTTTTTCAAAGCTGCACATGTGCCGACGGACATTGGCTGGTGGGCGAGAATTCTGGCTGCCTCTTCCTGAGGATTGAAAAGAAAAAGATACCCAATGAGTGGTTATCCACATCCACATTCAGGGCAGTTGTACCACTCAGTAGGGTGCTGTGTTCTGCCTTCCTTGGACATCTTGCCATTTCTCCACCATGTCTCCATTACTCAGGATACAACTCTAGGTTGCTTACCTGGGAGAAAGCCCGACTAAACTCAAAGGGACTGATTTGTGCAGAAGTTGCACCGTACATGGTTGGACTGCTTCCTTGGTTCCACACTTACTCCGTTGTTCTTTGCACAACATTCCTCTCTTGATCATCACCTTCTTTATGTGCCTAAAAGCCAATGTGGAAGTGCAAATAACTTTTGAATAGGTTGAAATCTATGCTCTCTTATGACAAGGCCTCCAGTAGCACCCTGGGCATGATCATGTGCACCCTCACTGTGCTAAAATTGGAGAAAAGTATCACTTAACCTACTCAAGCTCCTGTGGAAAATCAGAGATTAAATGAAATACAGTTCTGGCAAATGATTATAGTGTGGTGGGTAGATCAGAACACATTACAGGCTCCCCATGGTGAAGAAAAATTAATTCCAAGCAAATAAGCATTACATTTTTTTTCTTCACTGGGATCAGTGGTTCTCAACCTTTTCTTCACCACAGATTCTCTTTAAATACCATGGGCACGAATCCCCAAGACTTAACTCAAAACTTAAACCATAACATTTCTTCAAGCCTTTGTGGACTCTCTGTGATGACACTGCAGTTCCCCCCAGAGGTCTGTGGACTACAGGTTGAGAACCATTGGCTGGGATTATTGATTCAGCAGAAGGAAATAGCTGGATGGCTAAGCCAGAGAGATGTAAGTTGGTTAATAACTTTTGTGGATTTAGCTGCATGCAATGTGCCAAATTTATTCA